TAAATGATCTTCTGGCTTTATTTCTTTGTCTGGAAATCAAGGTCAGGAACCCCACTAGCTGGCATTTACCAACCCCTCGTGTGCTGGGTCCTGTGCTAGGTATTTAATTATCATAGCAGGCCTCTGAGTGGGAAGTGGGATTACAATCGTACAGTCAAGGAAACCGAGGCTCAGAGAGGCTTAAGCACCTGCCCGAGGTCACCCAGCTGTTAAGCTGGAGCTCGGTCTGTGTTCACAGCTCATGAACTTCACCGCTGCGTCTAGTTCCACACAACTTCTGGGCTGAATGGAGAGAGTATGTTAGAGTGTGGACTGGGCAGTGCCAGCGGCTGTTGTGTGTGAGAGATGGTGCTTATTAAGACCACACAGGAGCCGGGACTGGCCACAGTTCCCAGGTCCTGTCCTCAGGCTGCTGACCCCCTATCAGAGTTTCTGGAAAGAGGCCTCGTTGCCTTAAAAGGCAGTTCCAGGCAACACTGTGGCCAGATTTTAACCTAGAGGGTTTGTAAATGAGAGTAGTGTGCAGGTTTCTTTTTCACCCACTGATTTAGCCACTTTTAGTGAGGGCTTCCTCTGGGGCACGGAACAGGCAGTGGCCACATAGGCACCCGCGTCAATGGTCATGGGTATGGAACAGGCCATGAGCGAAAGCCAGGTCAGGCTCAGACATGATGGCAGGGGCCTGACCTGGCCTGTGGGCTCAGGGAAGTGATGCTGGGGGTGAGGGCAGAGGACAATGTGAACTCAGGGCGGAGCGCTCAGTATAGGAAGCAGTGGCCAAGGATGGCCCGGCTGCAGAGGGACAGCAGGGCAGGAAGGTAAGGCATGTGCGAGAGAGGGAGGGAGGGAGCTCTGCCAGCACCTGTGAGGGTGGGTGATGGCAGCCCCCTAGGTTTTCTTTCAGGGGTCCTGGGCAAACGCCAGCCTGGATGCCTGCCGGCACATGGGACGCCGGAGTGGGACTCTTGCCTGTTTTTGAATCTCAAGCCTGTCCTCACACCCTGTCACTTATGAGTGAGCGCAATGAGGAAAGGCATCCTTGGGTCCTTTACTGGAGTAAACAGAGTCAATCCCAGGCTTGTGAGCATGGTCTGTGGGCCGAGACGGACAGACAGACCTGTTCTGGCCCTGCCTGTGTCCCCTGCTTGTTGCATAGTCTTGGGTTAGTTGCTTCACCTCACTCTGAGCCTTGGTTTTCTCATCTGTGAAATGGAATGGCACAAATGATGGTGCTGACCTCATGGGGTTACTGTGAGCAGTTGGTGAGCGTCTGAACAGAGCTGATGAGACTGGGAAGTGTCTGGCCTGGTGCCTGGCACACAGTAGGAGCTCCTTCGGTGGTCACAGATGTGGTTGGTTGGTTGTGTTCTTGGTGGGAGTCAACGAGCTGAAGGGCAAAGTGTGTGGAGCAGGGTCTGGGAGTTTAGGCGAACGTGGGAACAGGTTCCAGATTACAGGCATTGCTCACTGTTCTTTCTCGTGGGACGTGATATTGTGTGTCACTTGGCCAAGCTGCCCAACGACAGTATCGAGCACGGAGCAGACTGGTATCTGCAGGCTGAACTGGGGGGAATGTGGCCTGAGGTTTTCTCTGTTCTCCCCCACATGCTTTTATAGTCCAACGTGGGGATCCTGCCCACATGAAGAAGACCTGCCCTGAGCAAGCGGCCACCTTCTCCCCGTGTGCCCTCCAGCCAGAGCCCCTTTTCCATGGGTTCTTGGGTGGGATGCCTCCACCACACACAGACCCCCTTGGAGAGGCTCGCAGGGGTGGCACGCACACGCCGGGCTGTGTGATACCTACGTGGGCATCAGTCGGGCCTGTACCGAATTCACCCTCCACACAACAAGCCGCCGTCAGGTCTGGAGCGGGGAAGAGAGAGCCTGTGTTCCCGGAGCTGCTGGCTGGTCTTCTCTGCTCGAGGGCCCGGCCCCCATTGGAGCCAACTGCGCTAGCAGGGCCTAGTCTGTTTATTTGTGCACCACGGGGAATGCTGGGTGGCCACCCCTTGCTCCCTTCCTCCAGGAAGAGAGAGGGCGCGGGGAGCCGCGGCCAAAGCCTCCCGCTGAAATGCTCTTCTCTAAGGGGCTGGCTTTCCTTCAGTCCAGCCTCTCCCTGGCCAGCGATCCTGGCTTCTCCTCTCCGAAGATTACTTCAGAATTGCTTAGAAGCTCTGGGGACAGACTGCCTGGTGTGAATCCCAGCTCTGCCCAGCCCTGTGATTTGCTGAAGCCCTCGCCTCTCAGAGCCTCAGTTTCCTCATTTGTAAAATGGGGAGAGTAGCAGACGGATCATGAAGGGCTGTCGTGAGGAGTAACGGAGTTGAGGCATGTGAAGTGCGTAACACAGTGCTTACCAGCCAGTGTCGTTTGTATCGCTATTATCACCTGTTAAACTGAGAGCCCGCTTTCTTAATAAGATTACTTGATGGGAACTGAAAGCAGAGTTCCTTGGCAAAGGCTCAGCTAGGTTTGGTTTGACCCAATCAGGTGGGTTCAGGGGGGCGGGGGGTGAGAATCCGCATTGCCTCAGCCAGGCCTTGCCGTTGCCGTCTGTGCACTCCACGTGTTTCCCTCTGTCTCTCTCCCGGGCACATTCCAGTGCACAGGCTACGCAGGAGTCAGCAGGAATGTGATGTTTCATTCTCTGCCGGCCTCCCTCTGAGCTGTCTCCAGGCAGCTCCCACAGGAACCGGTTCTTGAACCTGGGCACCTGGAGCAGCCTTTGTTCCTCAATGCTTCAGAGCATTTGTCAGGGGCCTCTGTGGAGCCTGATTCAGGGATGTGGGAAACTGAGGCCCAGAGAGGTGAAGCCCATTGACTGGGCTCACACAGCAGCCAGACACTCAGATCGGTCACAGAGGATGGACAAGGGAGAGAAGAGGTTATTTCAGGGTCTCCCTTTCTCTGGGGGAGGGCTGACTGTGATGGCTGTGGCGGAGGGCAGTGGTGATGGGGGAGGGCAGGAAGTGAGGACGAGGCTTCAGGGAAAGAGGGTGGGCTTGTTCAGAGAAAATCCATTCACCCCTTCCCTTTAGACCAGGGTTTCTCACCTCAACGCTATTGGCGTTTGAGCTAATTCTTTGCTGTGGGGCCTCGACGGAGATGCCAGCGGCACCTCTTCGGTTGTAACCACCAAAAATGCCTCCAGGCAGCGCCAAGTACTTTCTACATGTAAGTCAATGACTTCTCCAAACAACTCTAGGAAGCGCAGAGTATTAGTCCCTGTTTTAGATGAGGGAACTGAGGCACGGAGAGGTTAACCCTCGAAATCGCACAGTGAGTGAGCAGCAGAGGAGAGGTGGGACAGGTGGTCTGGCCTCGAGATACCCTCACTGCCTCCCGGCCTTTCCCCAGCCCTCAGTGAAGGGGCCCCCATGAAGGGAACGTGACTCTCCGGGGTCTAGGAACTCCTCTGCTCCCGCCTTGGACAGTCTGATCTGATCTGACGCTGGGTCTCCAGCCTGTGGTCCAGGACCTACCCGCTGATCTTAGTGTCCTACGGGGTCCATCTGCACCTCGGGTGTCTGTGATTGACAGCCCCACTGCTTCCTTGCTGCTGTCCCAAGGAGGTGCCCAGCTTCTGGAAGCAGAAAGTTCCTGCCCCTCACGAAGCTGGAGGAGTCAAAGCCTCTGTCTGTGCTTGTTTAACCCTCACAACAGCTTCCAGGGCGAGGGATCGTTATCCCCATGTTATAGATCGGGAGATCGGGGTCCACAGAAGCCCAGTGAAATGCCCTGAGTCCCTTAACTAGTATGGGATGTAAAGAATCTAATAGGAGGTGGAAAGGAGTGGTGAAAGGGGCAGCGATCAAGAAATTAACTTGGGGGCTTCCCTGGTGGCGCAGTGGTTGAGAGTCCGCCTGCCGATGCAGGGGACACGGGTTCGTGCCCTGGTCCGGGAAGATCCCACATACCGCGGAGGGACTGGGCTCATGAGCCATGGCCGCTGAGCCTGCGTGTCCGGAGCCTGTGCTCCGCAACGGGAGAGGCCACAACAGTTAGAGGCCCGCGTACCGCAAAAAAAAAAAAAAAAAAAAAAAAAGAAATGAACTTGGGAGAGGTCCTCTGTGAAATTCACTCCAGTACTTCAGTGGAGATGAACGTGCCTAATTACAAGATCAACCCAGGGGGATTGCGTCCTCGAAATCCTTCCCAGGCCAGCCTCCTGTGAGCCACCTCTCATGGCGTCCTCTTCTCTTTCTCTTCCCAGGGCGACATGGGAGCATTGGGTCCAATTGGCTACCCAGGACCCAAGGGCATGAAGGTAAACAAGACCTGTCCCTTAATTCGAGTCTCATCACAGCTGGGCACCCCCTGACTCATTTCAGCCCGGAAGGAAGGCTACCCTGATATGGTGTTGGGGGGCACTCAGAGGGGGGCTGGGGTGGAACGTGGCAGATCAGGGGCTCCGTGCTTCTCAGTCCTGAGAGCCGGTCATCGTCCTCATGTCATGTATGCCAGACATCTTCGTTGGACAGCAGTCCTCCAGCTGAGCATGAGTCAGACTTGGTTCTGGACTTCAGGGCACTGAAAGTCCAGTGGGGGCCGTTACCAGGAGCACAGAAACTCTATATAATGGCAAGCCAGTGAGTTCAGGACATCCCTGAGTGGGATGGGCGTGCAGGAGAAAGGTGGGCTCAAATTGCCCGGACCACGTTCCAGGGATGATTCCATTTGGCCAGCAGGCGTGTGACACGGCTCATGAAGCCCATCGGCACCCTTCTCCCCTGGATGTGTCTAGAGCACTGCGATTCGCCAGTCAACTGCCCCTTCTCAATTCGCCAGTCAACTGCCCCTTCTCGTGGTCCTTCAATCCGCACCACTGCCCTCTGGGCTGGGCCCTCCAGCACGGGGTCTCGCAGCAAGCCAGTGGGTTTATGCCAGGGCTCTTGACTTGTGGGGTTTTGAACATCCCTCACAGCTGAACCCTGGCCTCTGTCTTGCAGGGACTGATGGGAAACGTGGGGGAACCCGGACTGAAAGGTGATAAGGTGATCTGAATACTCCCTTATTGCACTGTGTTTTGTCTGCATGCGAACCCCCTCAGCCTCGACGCTGCTGCTGATTTCTTGCCAGGTCCACTCCCCTGCGCTCTTACTGCCTCCCCTCTGGCCCCGCTAAATCTGCGCTCCCCAGCTTCTTCCTTGTTAAGTCTGGGTGGGACCCAGCCTGATGGCTCTGGAGGCACGCAGACCTTGGCAGACAGAGTGTGGGGGCTCTCGAGATCCGGGTCGGGGGTAGGGTAAGGCAGGTCTCCGAATTTGGGGAGCAAAGCTGAGGCCAAAGCCACAGAACACGAGGTGGGCGGGGAGGAGCGGTGCTGAGATGATGGGCCCCAGGGCAGGGCTGATGGGGGGTCCAGAGACCCCTCCCAGGCATAGGAGGAAACAGATACACATCAGCCGCCCAGATGAGAAGAGGGAGCCCCGTCCCAGGGTCTGAAAATGCAACGGGAAAACCAGGACGGGCCCCTGAGCTCCCACCTGCCTTCCTGCCAGCTGCCATGTGCCCTCTGCAGCCCTGCTGCTGAACTGACCCCGGGCCAAACCAAAGCTGGAGGTGGGTAGGTGGGACCCCGGGGCCCAGCATGGGGCAGCACCTGGCCTGGGTCCTGCAGCATCTGAGCCAAGAGACATGGAGGGCAGGGAGTGGTGCCCCTGTGCTCTGCCCTGTGGCCATCTCCCTGCCCTCCCCTCTGCCTCAGGGAGCGTGGGAGAGTTTCTGACAACATCCCAGGTTCCAGAAACCTGAGCCAATAGGAGCTGCTCAGCTGCTCCCAGGGCCAGGCTGCCTCTGCACCTGTCTTCAGGTGACTCTGCTCCTCCTAAGTCCGAGGAACAGGAACAGGTACCGGCGCTGGGCCCGCTCTGAGTGCTCTGCGGGGCTTAGCCCGGGCATCCTCCACCGCTCTGTGAGATAGGAAGCTTGCCGAGCACAGACAGCTGGTAAGTAGCGTCAGGATTTGAACCCAGGCACTGCCGACAGAGACCTCCACCACGAAGCAAGACAGGTCGGAAGGGCAGAGCCAGTGAGGCCCTTAGAAGTCACCTCCTCCAGCGCCTACATTTCACAGCCAGAGAAGCAGACCCAAAGAGGAGAAGAGACGCAGCGAAGGAAACTCAGTGATCTATTGGAGCCAGCCCAGACCCTGGACTCAGAAAGTTAGAGCTGCTGGGCAGAAATGGGCACCCCAGATTGTCTCACCCACTCCCACCCCTAGGTACCTAGCCATGCGGTGCTCGGTCTTCTCATCTGTTTCCCCCTTTCCCATCTCCTCCCGTCACGCCCAAGCCTCCAGCTGCAGCTCCCTCAGCCTCGCGGACTCAGCTCTGCCCCTGGCCGTGCCCTGCTGCCTTTGCTAAGCCCCCTCTTCCACCGCCCTCGCTCTGGAAGTGCAGGGTCTTTCTGCCCTCGCTCTGGAGATGCAGGGTCTTTCTGCTGGAGGTGGGGCTTCCCCACAGCTACCTGTTTACCCTGCGGTATGAGTCGTCAGCACTCTGGAAATGTTGAAGTCATGGAGGAGGGGAAGGAAGTGGGGGAAATAGGAGTGTAGGCAGGGAGCTTTTTATAGGCCCTTTGCAGAGCTGGCCTCCAGCTCACTGTTTCTTCAGGAACATGGCAATCAATGTGTTACGTAGAACTCGGCTGGCTTGCTGACCGCTGGTGCCTGGGACATCGAGAGAGGTGAAAGCACTGGAAAAAAAAAAAAAAGAGGAGAAAATTATTTTCCTGCTCGTAGATCTCAGGAAAATCAAATAAGTCTTAAGTGTTGAAAAAAAAGAAAAATAAGAAAAGCAAAAGAAATCTCTTTTCTGCCCCTGTGGCTGGGGCAGGGTCTTAATATTTCGGGGGGCAGGGTTCGGATCATCCCCTCTTCACTCCCACCCTACCCTCTGGCCCTCCCCTGTGGTGATAGAGACACCCCTTCATGTTCCATGGTCATCCTGCCCAGAATCCCAGATTGTCCGTGACCCAGCCTGGCCTCAGTCCCACTTACAACAACCTGGCTCCGTCTCCCCCCATGGCAGCACATTCTGGAACCCAGGCTTCTGCGCCAGGCCCAGCCTTCTCCAAATCCATTGTGTTGATTTCTTAGGTGCCTTTGAAACTTTTTTTTTAAAACCACCTTACTCCTCCTTTGGACATTTAAAAAAAATGTTCCTTGGTTCCTAAAATTCTGGGATATTGTACAAGATTTTCCAAACTGGAAAAACCAAAGTAAGTTAACATTTTTTTTTTATTTAAAAAAAAATTCTGGCTTTTGTTCTACCAAGGGAGTTCTGCTGGATCATGGCCTTAGCGGCACGACATGAGTTCTCTAAGATTCTCCATTCTTCCTGGGTTTTTCTCCCCATTCCTCCAACTGCTCCCGGGGCTGTGAATGTTTTCTGAGTCCTGGGGCCAATGTACCAACATGGGAAGCTGGAAATGATGAGGGCTGTGTGAGACACGTCCAGCTCCAAGGAGAAACGTCTCCCAATCTGGTTCTGCGACAGCTCATTTACCAGGACGTGGCTGAATACAGGCACGGACTAGAAGAGGCCTCCGACAGCCAGAATCAGTGTCACCAAGCCCACGCGGTGTGTCATCTTAGCAAAGAAACACCCAGACCTAACTCGAGGCCAGTTGACTCGTCGTTTACGCATAGTCTTAACTAGCCAGGTGCTCCGGTTTCTCATGCTATAGCTGATTAAAAGCAGCTAATTAGCAGTAGACCGAAGCAGATTGCTGGCATAGAAACTCCCACGGAAGGACGAAATGACAGTTCACAGCCTGGTGGTGAAAAATATCAAGCCACAGATGCAAGCGCTCAGAACCTTCAGCGGCGCAGGGCCGCAAGCGCTCAGAACCTTCAGCGGCACAGGGCCACTGTCCAGGCTGCGCGCTCCTCTGTGTGACACCAGCTGATGAGGAGGTTGAAAGATCGTGGCACAGCCCCTTTGACCCTCAAGTGTCTGTTCTCCTGACAAGGCCAGCTGACACTGGGCAGTTTAGTTTTCTATGTTCAGCCACCTGAGCAACCCCAGGCAGACCTGCACGTAAGCTGGCTCTGTCCCCGCAGGGCCTAGCTTCCCTACCGGGGGCAGGGCAGGGCTGGGAGCTGCCCTTTGCTCTAACAAGGCTGCTGCTGGGCAGATCGACTTTGGGAACAGCCTCAGCAGAGCTGTACCCTCCCAGTGGGTCTGGACGTCGGGGAGACTTCCAGAACCCACCGTGGTCTCCATCGTAACCTTCTTTGCTGGTGTGTATTTAGGGTGAACAAGGGGTTCCGGGTGTGTCAGGAGATACCGGATTCCAAGGAGACAAGGTAATTGCAGCAGATTTGCCCCCTGCCCCCTGCCCTGCCCTTCTCTGCTCTGGCTTCCTTCCCAGGGCCCGTCAAGGGCCAGGACCCGCCTGTAGGATGGCTTCCTTTCACACAATCCTGTCTTCTCCATCCTCCGTCTACCCTCTCACTGTCTTTTCCCTGGACTTCACAATGGCCTCCTGACTTAGTCCCAGGCCCCAGCCTCTTCCCTCCCAGGCTGCCTTCCTCACCACCACAAAACTGTCCTGAGGGCCCAGCTCTGCTCTGTGCTCGCAGCCCATCCATGGCCCCCTACTGCCCCCAGAGTGGTGTCCCAGCTTCTTGCCCTGGCACCCAGCCCCCCGGCGCACAGGACACTCTGACACTTTCCTGCCCCTCGCCCTTCTAGCCCTGTGCTCCAGCCCCACTGACCTGCCCGCTGCACCTCAAGTTTGCACACACTGCTGCGTAGCCGGGCACACCCTCCGTCCCGCCTGTGCACGGCCCAGCCCCGCCGCAGAACCCCGCGTGGGTGCCGTCTTCTCTACCTGCTCGGGAAGTGACCGTTCCCTTCTCTGCCATTCTCATTCCCTGCCCATCACCTGCGGTAGCACATTTCTCCCCTGGCTGATGGGGATTTGTGCTCAGCCCCCTGCCAGACAGCAGGTTCCCAAGGATAGGGCCCCCGGCTGGCCTGGAGGAGCTCAGCTGAGGGTCCTGCACAGACTGGTGAACATTTAAGACACGTCTGAGTGAGTAGCTGGCCTGACTGGCTGAGGAACCCAGGCAGCCTGCCGAGGCCGGCTCCTCTTTGCCTGTGTCCGGCACCATGTGGCCACATCTGGACCTCACCCAGCCAGTCAACGAGACCCAGATGTTGGCCAGCTCTGCCTCTTCCTCTCCCCTCCCTCCTGGCTGGCCTGTCCTGACCCAGCCTCAGTGTCTCCGGGTTGCGAGCCACGCAGGCCTGGCTGCCTCTCCAGCTGGGCCCCAGGCTCCAGACTTCCCCGGGCATCAACGGTGCTCCAGTGCTTGCTTGGAGGCCCAGGGTCCCGGGTTCCAGGATGACCTGGTGAGGACAGGAGCTGCTGTTTCACCTTTGCATCCCCAGATCCCAGCCTATAGGGCTGCCAAGCTGGAACTTGCAAGCAGGGAAAAGGACTGGGGAGCTCATCCTCCCCCTAAATGTGGATGTTCTCCAAGCCTCAGGCCAGCAAGGATGACCAAGCAGCCGTTCATCTGGCCATTTCCGGTCCTAACTAACCACAGTTTGCTCTGCATCTCTTTCAGGGGAGCCAGGGATTGCCAGGGTTCCCAGGCGCACGGGGGAAGCCAGGGCCTGTGGTAAGTACCTTCTGCTCTGGGATCCCCAACCTCACACTCTCCAAATGGTCATGGAATGTGGCCAGAGATGCTTTCACATCCAGGATCTCCTTTCCTCTCGCAGCAGCTCTGGGAGGCGAATAGAGCAGAGCAGAAATGGAGATTCACCCATTTTACAGACGAGGACACTGAGGCCCAGAGGGGCAGGAGTACACCCAGCACCATAGATAGGCACCAGTCACTGGCAGACCTCTGGTGAGAATCAGGGCTCCCAATGTCTCATAACTAATAGTAACATTATTAATAATAGCAGTGGGTGTCGTTTATTTATTGAATGTTACTGTGCATCAGATCCTTCCTGTGCTATACCTCTCTGAAGTCTGCCAACAACCCCAGGAGTTAGAGACTTATTATTGCTCCCATTTTGCAGATGGGGAAAGTGAGGTTCCAAGGTGAAGTGACTTGCCCTGGATCCTGTGGCTAGCAAGTGTAGGAGATGGGGTTTGAACCGTAGCTCCTTGCAGGTACCTAGGCAGATTTCACTCCTATTCTCCTGAGTTTTCCAACCACCCCCAGCCAGCGGGCTAATACAGGAGATCCAGGGAAGGTAGACCCTCACTTAGCCCTGCCTCCTCCACAATCTCTTCTCTTCCATAGGGCAAAGTTGGAGACAAAGGATCCGTTGGGTTTCCTGGGCCCCCTGGACCCGAGGTATGCAATACCCTATTTCTCTGTGTCTGGCTGCTACTGGGACTGGGTGTTGTGCTTGGGAAACCAAGGCTCAGAGACAGGGAGAGACTTGCCTGGGGTCACACAGCAGATGAGAGATGGGGCTGAGAATAGAAATTCCTTTTCTGCCTCTGTGCCTCCCGGCTTCCGTAGAGGCTCTCAAAGGCAGTGGCACAGAAGCTGGCCTCAGACAGCCTCCCCGGCTTCGTAGCCACCTTTACAGTTTCCAGAACAAACATCAGGAAAACCCTCTGAGCTCTACTGCCTTGACCCTTCACGGGAGCTCCCCACATTCTCTACACTGAGGTTTGAGGCATCCAACCCTTCTGAGCCCTGGAACTTTTCTAACTGCCAGCAGCCACCCTGGAGAAGTGCAGGGCTCACGGTTCACACGGGGGAGCAGGGGACAAGTGTAAAATTCTGGTGTTCAATGGAGAAGGAGAAATAGTGAAGGATGGGTAACGCAATTAACATAACAACTCTAGTTGAGTCAGTAGAACCTGAGAGTTTCTGATACATGTGATAACCAGCACAGGTACGTTAAACGTTCATCCCCTGGCATTTATGTACAAAGGAGCGAGGCAGCTAGTCGAGCCCCTTTTGCTCTCCCCTCACCCCACCCCAAACCCCAGTACAGGGACCAGCTCTGGAGAACAGGGTGGACAGTGCTAGGGCTACTGTCTGTCTCAGGGGTCTAGCTCAGCCCTAGCCGCCACCCCACCTCTACACACCTCCCTGGCCTGGGGCCTTGCACCTTCGTAAGGTCTCAGAGACAGAAGTCTAGTTCTGCCGGGTTCTCCAGATCCTTCCAGAGATCACTCCTGGTATCCCCCGGATGGAAGAGAGAGTGTTTCCTGAAAGCTACAAGTTCTACTTTCCACTCTGTTGACTTTGGCCATGACACAGTCCTATCTTTAGACGAGTGGACTTGGCCTCTCTTCCATGGACCTGCTTCCTTCCCCTGGTCACTGGAAAAAGACTTCTCTGAGAGTCCGGGTTTCCCAGCAGTCTGGCCAGGGCGGGTGGAAAGCCTGCTGCCTCACATTAGGCACCTCCTCATGCCAGGAGGCCGCGTAGTATCTTCCGGATGAGAACTGATCGAATGGTCACCACAACCAGGGAGGGAGATATTGCTACCACCGTTTACAGACGAGGGAACTGAGTCACAGAGCAGCGGAGTGACCTCCTCAGGGTCACTCTGCTACTTGTAGCAAAGAAGGTCTTTATTTGCTCTTTGGCTCCCTCCTGGGGCCCTGGACAGACGGGGGTGGGGTCTTCCTCCCCCATCTTCGCGTTCTGTTTGGATTGGCGGACTCAGTATCTAGAAGATGGCTCGGCGCAGCTGAAGACACAGAAGCTGACGAGCATGTCAGCGCCTTCTCGGGTCTTTGCCTCTTTTCGGCCAC